ATGTACAACATCAGAAATTATTCACTGTGTTTACTGCGCACTAATATGTTAATGAGACATAAACATAGAAACTAGACTATCATTAAATAATTAATTATTAATTGTGAGTCATAAAATATGATTTTTTTTTTACATTCGATCCAAAAATTTACATTTTCTGTAACAAAACAATAAAAGAATTACAAATTTTTGAAATTATATTTAATTTTTTAATATATTTTTTTGTCATAAAACTGTGTGATTAATCATGAAATAGATAAAATTTAAATTAGAATTGGATTTCTAATATTGATCTTGGAATTGTTAATCATGTCATAAAATTTTATGTGCTGTAATTTTATCTTGTAATGATTTTACTATGATCATAGTAAACAGATAAAAGAAATTATCATTGTCTCACGACTATTAAACTATATAAACAATTATTACTGTTATATAATTATTGTAACAAAATGCTTTTAATATATGTATAAAGGCCGATGATCATTAAAAAAAAAACAGTAATCAACGGTTGCGATGAATACTTTTTCCCTCTCATTTTCGTGTAGTTATTCCGTTAATGATGACGCCACTCTTTTATTGCCTTCATTCACGTTTCGTGATAATTACTCTCATCTTCTGTCCTGCACCCACTTCTCGCATTTCTGTCATTGAACTATACCGTTATTAATCATTCCAGGCTGTATTTATGTGAGTTGAACTTCTCGTAACATTCTTCTGATTGGTCGACCGTTTATGTCATAAGAGAATGTGTATTTATTATTTTGGACCATGTGCTTCTTGATAAGTAAAAGTTAACATGTTACATTTGATGCAGTGATGAAGCAACTTTATTAAAAGACACAATAATGCACTCAATTAATGTTCATTATTCTTTTTTTTTATTCTCCAATAAATTTGACTTCTTTTTCTAAAAAAAGAATTTTTTTGTTCCAATTATTTTCTTCTTTAATTACTTTATTATTATTTACCTAGTGCAAATATATTTATTTATAAAAATTAACACAATTATTATAGTCGACGAAGAACAAATTTTTTTTTTGAAATTTCGCGCCAAAAATTTTGTCAATTTGGCAACGTTGATTGCAACTTGTGAATTCCCGTATTCAATGCTATAGAAATAGTCAATTTTTCTTTTTTAACGACACGAAAATTATAAAAAATTAAATTAAAAAAAAAAATTATTATAAAATGGCGTCAATAGTAAAAGAAAAATATAAATAAAACATAAAAGTAAAATAAAAAATTTGAATAAAAAATTCAAAATAAATAATTGAAAAAATAAGGTGTTATAAAATTATTATGTGAATAAATTATTTATTCATTAAAAAAGTTTATAAAATATATACATACAACAAAAAGAATATTACATAAAAAATGGCTATCTATATATATATATATAAATTCCAATGGTACTGTTAGTTTTTATGTCCTGTTAGGCGTATTTTATGTACTCAATGATAGTGAAAGTAACATTTTACTGCGATTAAATTGATATTCAATAAAATTGACATCAATTGTAAAATATTATTGAAAAAAAAAATTTGCATAACAATAAATGTTGAATTATTAATTTTTTTTTTAATTTTGATAAATTCGTTAAAAAACAAATTTGAAAACAAAAGAATAATAATAATAGAAAGCCAATTTTCGTGAAGTAAAATATTTTTCCTAAAAGTAAAATTTGAAGTATTTAAAAAAAAATGGAGGAAATGAAACAAATTTACAATTAAAATACCAAATTAACAAAAATTATAATCTCGTGTATAACGAATGACGCACCTATTAAGAATTGTACGTAACATTCCAACTGAAATTGAATGAATGATTATTTCATCACAAGTAACGATTCATATTCTTGATAATCACTATTAACGATTTATAAGACCTAGAAGTTACATCAGCAAGCTTTCGTTACCTCAAATAGATTCTCAGAAAATTATCACCACAATTTTTTAATAAATAAATTCTTCACAATTATATTTATTTCTATGTTATTAATGTATTATTACACAGTTACTTTGGGGGTATCAAAAAGCGTTGCAGATCAAATTGATTTAAAAAATAGATCAAAATGATCCAAAATTTGTATTATTTTACTGCAACATTTGATGTCAATTGTTTGTTCTGAAACGTCAATGACATAACCATCGTTGAGTTTATGAAAAAATTGCATTTTCTATTTGAAGTTTTAGTAAAAAATTGTTAAAGCACTCGACTATGAATTTAAAAAAAAATTTTGTTTAATCAATTGGTTTTTGGTTCATTGGATCAGTAAGGATTGATATTCTAACCATAACCGTTTGGTTAGAATTCCTGGTGCTTGAAACAAAAATTTTATTCCAATTAATTTTTTTTAATAAAATAATTTGATTCGGAAAATTGGTTTGATTGGCACAGAAAATAATGTTTTGCTTTTCTTATTAAATTAATTATGCTTGTTAATAACAAAAGTTTTTTTCAACAATGACTAAATTAAAAAATTGATTATAACACTTAAGCTGGTAAGCAAACAAAAAAGGTGTCCTTTATGTTAAAGTTATAAAGAAGATCATTTTATGAACATTTTTGTTTTCTCGTTGAGGTAAGAAAAAAATTTGCTTGTGCGTAAAGAAAGCATTAAATTTGATTTGCTTTTATGTAAAATTTTATACATGTCGTTAATTTTATTTTTATAATAATATATTTATTTATAATATTTATTTCATAATAAATTGTTCCACATTAGTTTGACAAAGAATTCCTGGATATTAAGTAATATTTTGAGATTAATTAAAATAACTTGTTATTATTTTTCATTAATTTGTATTTTTTAAAAGTATATCTAATGAAAGTGAAAACATTTTGACAAGTATAATGAATTAGTTTTTAGGGTTCCGTACTCGGTTCGGAACCCTATTAATATCGGTTTTTTTGAAATCGTGTACCCCCCCCCCCCCCCTAGCGGCCACATAAATTTATCTGGAGGGCTGAAAATTAGTACACATATGTATTTTCGCGTGTAGATTACAGGAAAATTATAGCGAACTTGATTGGAATTGATTAACATAGCGTTGTCAAGGAAAAACTATGAATTTTTACGAAAAATGCCTAAAAATGACTATGTACCCCCCCCCTAGCGGCCACATCTTTTGACATAAAGAGCTCAAATTTGACACACTTACGTATTTTTACGTGAAAATTACAGGAAAATTATAGCGAACTTGATTCGGATCAATTTACATAGCGTTGTCAAGGAAAAATCAAAAATTTCGAAAAAAATAATTTATTCTCCCTAGCGCACACAATATTCAACCCAGACAGATCATATTTAGTATACAAATGTATTTTTACGGGAAAAATACAGGGGAAAAAAAGCGGTCACGATTAGAGTTGATGATTAACTTTTTATCAAGTTTTTCAAGAAAAAATGACAATTTTAGGAAAAAAATGTATTTTTCCACCAAAAACGAACAAAATTTTATTTAAAGGAAATTAAATTTATATATTTTAACGTATTTTTACGTGTAGATTACAAAAAAAATATAGCGAGCATGATTGGAGTTGATTATCATAGCGTTGTCAAGGAAAAACCATGAATTTTTACGATAAATACCTAAAAATGAGTATGTCCCCCCCCCCCTAGCGGCCACATCTTTTGACATAAAGAGCTCAAATTTGACACACTTACGTATTTTTACGTGAAAATTACAGGAAAATTATAGCGAACTTGATTCGGATTAATTTACATAGCGTTGTCAAGGAAAAATCAAAAATTTCGAAAAAAATGATTTATTCTCCCTAGCGCACACAATATTCAATCTAGACTGTTCATACTTGCTGTAAAACACAATTTTTGCGTGAAAAATACAGGGAAAAAATGTAAGCGCGATTGGAGTTGATGATCAATTTTTATCAAATTTTTGAAGAAAAATGATAAATTTCAGAAAAAAATGTATTTTTCCGCAAAAAACGAAAAAAGTTTTTCTACAGTGATTCAAATTTATATATTTTGACGTATTTTTACGTGTAGATTATAAAAAAAATATAGCGAGGATGATTGGAGTTGATTTTTCTGGAATTAATAAACAAATTTTATTTTTTAGATAACTTTCGATTTTTCCTTGACTTAGAAAGATAAAATTTAATATTCAATATATTTTTAAAATGTAAATACAATAAAAATATTGCGAGTTGAAATAAAATTATGTTTCTTATATTTTTTTAGTAAAATATTTTTTAAAAAATAAAATCGGACAAGTGCGAGTTACACTCGCACTGAAATCGAGGGTTCCGTACTCGAAGCGAACTTATTTGGTATAAAAACAAATGTTTAAAAAATATGTGTTGTATGACAAATAATATAAGTGATACGAAGAGGAACAATTTTCTTGAATTTTACAAAATTGTTCCTTTTTGTATCACTTATATTATTTGTCATACAACACATATTTTTTAAACATTTGTTTATATACCAAATAAGTTCGCTTCGAGTACGGAACCCTCGATTTCAGTGCGAGTGTAACTCGCACTTGTCCGATTTTTTTGTATGACATAAACACGGTGTTATGTTTTTTACCTTCCCATTGATCGAATTTACTTTTATGAAATAATACACTTGGAAAGAAATTTAAATTTTTATTACAATGAATTAGTGTATTAAGAAAATCATATTAAATAAAATACTCCTTAAAACAAAGGTATTGATGTTTTTACCTTAGTCATCGTAAAGAAAAATTTAATGTAAAGTTTTCATTAAAAATTTAGAATAATTTTTTATTACATATTCCACTAGAAAGTTGTTACAATACTTACTCTTAAAAATAAAGCAGTATTTTTCAAATCATAAATATATAATCAATGTTGTAATTCTTTTATTACAATTTTATTGCAATTCATTTTATAAATTTGTTCTTTTAAAGAAATTATTTTAAATTTTCGAAAAAAATTTAAGATTAAATTAACTTTTATCAACTTAACGAAATCGTAACTCAACCAAATATATCAAAGAATTTTATAAATTTAAAAGCCCAATTTTGCTCTGTCTTGAAGGTTTAAAAGTGATAAATACTTCGAATTTATAGGAGAAATTCGGCGAAATTTTTCTCCAAAAATTATTCTTTCTAAAAATAAAAATTGCAGATTGTGTTTCTTTTCGTAGTTTATGTTAAAAATGTAGTACGAAGCAATAAGAAGCAATAGAGCTTCTAAAGGTTTCGCACAGTGTAGAGGCTCAGAATCCACATAGCACTTAAGCATTTCACAATGCTCATCGACTGAAATTAAGGTTGGTGCTTTGTTACTTGCTGGCACTGTTTCCTAAAAAAAAAGAAAATTATTAGAAAAATACAATGAACAATCAACACCCTGAGAATTCTTTGTTGACATTTTATTTATTAAAAAATGCATATGATTATGGAGAAAAAAGTTTTTGAACAACTTATATTACAATTTAGAATAAATTAAAGTACATAATTTTGCTTTTCTTTTATATCCAGATAAAATCGGATCGTATCAAAAATCCATATAAAACATGGAATATTTAAAAGTTTATTTCGTTTTTACTTTATGAGAAATAAATGGCAAAAATGAATTAAAGTTTATTAAATAAATAAATAAATAATAAATAATAAATGTTATTTAATAAATATTAAATAACATGTTTGTGTTACCAAGAGTTAAAAATGATATTTTTAATTAATTTTAGTATATTTGTACCTTTTTACTTTTACATTTACTATTCGATATTTCAAAAACAAAGCGTTGCAATCAAATATATATATTTTTTTAAATGAAAGGTAAAAGTCTCATAAAGACACTAAAAGTGGGAGTACTATATGTCACATTAATTAAGACCAATCGCTTTTTGCTCATAAGTTTTAAAAAATTTTGTAATGCCAATAGATATTTTTCCTTCATTTTATATTCGTTTAAGACACAAAGCTATGAACAAAGCTGTACTAGCCTACAATTTTACTAGTCACTTCAAAAAAATTTTAGATTCAAGTACCCTTAATTCCAATTCTATGATAGGCTTGTGGATCTCCTTTACACTTTTGCAATTGAACAATTCGGGCAGGTATTTTAAAAGGTGAATCACGATTTTATCATCATTTTCAGTATCTTGTTCTTTAATTTTGGTTATTAAAATATTAATTACCTTCGAAGCGTTGATTTTCAAATTTGATCTCATTTCCTTAATTGGCATGTCAACCAATTTTTCAAATTCCCAAAGAAACTATTAAAAAATTTGTGAATTAAAAAGAATTCTTCTAAATCATAAAACAAACATTAAAATTAAATTATGACTGCAATCGCAAAAATTATTAATATATAAAAAAATAATATAAATGTAAAAATAATAATGAAATATAAAAAATAAAAACTTAATTTAAAATTTAATTTAACACACTTTATTTAAAAACTTTAGTAATTTTTGTATTAAATAAAAATATAATTTTTTAAATGAAATTTAAAATCTACGTACATGTGACTTTAAATGTTAACTTTTTTATTCAAATTTTTGCATCATTTATAATCAAAATCAAAACCTATAGCAAATATTAACCGTTACTTTATAAGAATTTACCAAAGTTTTTAAAATCATTTTTCTTGACAATTCTACTATAAACCATAAAATATTAAAATTGATTTTTGCAAACTGCGTAAAAAAGAATTATTGTCCAAAAAATCAAAAAACAGTGGTGTTTATGATAATAATAATCTAAAGTTTAGCGATTTGTCACAAGACATAAAATAAAAGGAATGTTTTTGTGCTAAAAATTTTGATTATGAAAAAGGAAATTTTTATATTTTGCCTAAAGTAAATTATTGCATTGAAGTACTAATAAATTTAAAAATTATGTCTTTAATAGTCATTAAACTGTAAAGAAAATAATATTTAATTAATCACAAACTGTATCCAGCAACTTTCAAAAAGGTTTTTCAAAAATTTTTAAATTATGTATTGTGAAAGATTAAATTATTTGGAAATTTTACAATTAAAATTCTTCAAAAATGCTATTACTTTTAAAATCAAAAATTTATTTACTTTCAATACTATTTTACGCTTTTTTTAATTATTAAAAACATTTTCACACATTCCAAAATTTGTATAATGTTCAATATTGATAATCTTTAAAAATTTAGATCTTATATAATTTGTTTCTTAAAGTCTTTGTTCAATAAATAATTTCATAATGTTAGTGATGTTTTAAAAATATTTGACTATTAAAAAATTGTTATTATACATTTTCGAAACTCAGGAATTAAATTTAAAAAAAATTAAATGAAAAATTTAATTTTACTTTTAAAGAATTTTAATTGAAGTTCTTAAATTTTAATTTTAAACGATCATTCGACTAAAAAGTTGCATTTAAAAAATCGTGATAAATGATACAATATCACTGTATTTAAAGAATTCAAAGATTTTTTTATGCAATTCAACGTGTTTTTAAGTTTTCTATCTAAAAACAATATTCAAGAAAAAATCCAGGTTTTCAGAGTTTTCAAGGGTCGCTGAATACATTGCTTAAAAGGAAAATAATATAGTATCAAATATCTGAATATTATTTTAAAGGATAATGTTTGCACTTACCAAGTTTTGATCATGTAAGGCTGGGTATTTATTTAGCAAATCCTGGGCAGTTAAAGTTCGCGAATCTCTTTTTCGTGTCTCACGTGTGTCTGTGAGTAATTTTTTCAATCGAAAAATATCTCTTTCGATATGAGAATATTCTTCAGCCATTTCTAAGCAGCTGTCGGGCATAGTATCAGTACTTTCCCTTTCGTTACCAGTATTTCTACCTCTAGATGTATCAGCTTTATTTCGATTCGGATTCGATCGAGTTTTTCTATTTTTTAGACAATTTATTAGCCCCATTTGTAGCCTCTCCTAATGAAACATCATAAACATATGTGGAAATAATTAGGCATTATATTAAAAGGGAATATAAATTAATAAAATTTTATTTTAAAGATCAATTAAATATGTAACATAATTTTTGTTTTAAAAATTCCATAAAGTGTTTAAAATTCTCTATTTTTAACTTAGTTCAGTTGCCTCGACTAAAAAAATACCTTTTTTTACTGTTTTTAAAACCTTATATAAGTAATAGGTATTAAATTATTTTTAAAAATGTTATATAATTACGTGAGGTTCTTTCGACGTTCCTTTCAGTCCTATAAACTTGTCAATTGCCAACTTAGATATTTGCAAAATATCATCTCTTGTAGTGCAATCAGCTGTTATCATTCTTTCTGCTAAAATTCGTACACATGCGTTAAAAGGATTTCTTTTCATTTTGTCTTCGACTTCTTCTGGATTGGAATACAATCCTGCTGTAACGTCATCTTTACGATTCCCATAGAAAGAATCCGGGATAAGAAGAGCCAATTTATCCTACATATTCAGTAAATTAATCTAAATAAATACTAGCTTTTAAATAAAAAAAAATTCAAGATACAAATTTTACATAACTGTTCCAAAACAGTAGAAAAGTTTTTTTTAGTAAAAACTGACTTTTGTAATAAATGAATATTCTGGAATAAATTCCAGAAATTGTTGTGTTTATACAAAACATTTCTAAAATGCTTTTTTGTAATATTCTATAAATTTTACAAAACTATATTTAAATAAGCGACATTAAATACTATCAAAAAATATATAAATTGAAAATATATTTTTACCAAGTGCTGTTGAATCTCTTGAGGCAAATTGAAAAATGGAGTAGTTAATACATCCTCATCTTTCATTTTTTCTTCACCTCCTGTTTTCATTTCCTCATTTTTCGACTTTACATTTTCAGTTTTCTTCAGGTATTCGTCTTCTGATTTATATAAAAAGTCAGCAAAAATATTCTGCGAAATTGTGTCAAAATTTTCATTTGTCTTGGATGTTGAAGTTGACTGTGAATTTTCGGATTGAATTAAATTGATCTTCGCAGTTAAGTGATCATCTACAATAAATATTATGAAATTTAAATAAAAATACTATTTTTATTTAACCAACCAAAACTTTTGGTTGGTTTAATAGTTTCTTTTTCACAAAGGTTCACACTTTTTTTATCTTTTTACATAGAGGTGCCCAAATTTCAAAGAAATAAATTTGACAAATTATGGTTTTTTAAACGCAGACATATTACTATATTGACATATTTTAAAATTTTCTACACTAATAAATCTAGAACAATTTTGCTAAAAGAAAAAAAAATTAATTCACTTTCAACTTTTGGATGCTTAAAAAATATTATGTTTCATTTTTTATTTTTTTTAAACAAATTCAGTTTCCAATTTGGGATTGTTTTCTTTATTTGTATATTTGTCAAGAAATAAAAAGAACGGTTTGCAAAAAGTTCTGAAATAGGCCTGATAAAGCTGTTTTGTTTAAATATAGAAATTAAATTAAATTAAATATAGAAAGTGTAATACATTTTTAGAAAAGGAAAACAAAAGACATATTAGTTTGAAAAATAAAAAAGTTTTAAAATATTTTTTATTAATTTCATTCTAATAATCTATAACTTTACCAAGTTTAGCGTGTTTTACAGGAACACAGTTACAATAAGAGCATAAATTGTCCTTCGTGTAGCAATATGAAGGACAGTTGTTGCATTCGCAAGGACCTCGCTTAACCCCATGGCAATCTAAATTATTCATTTCTGAAAACATAATTGTTTATTATTTAATTATTTTGTGTCATACACATATTTCACCGACAAAAATATATTTAAATATTCTTATTTCGTCAATGATGGGCAGAAAATTCGTTTAAAGTATTAATAATAATTCAAATCGAAATAAAAAAAATGAATTTCTATTACATTAAAACAACAAGTTAATAGAAAAATAAAATAATTTTTTTAATTGAATCTTATATTTCACAAATAATTGTTTATTTTGTTAATATAGTTAGTTTCAAAAATTATTACCTGCGCTGTTTGGAAATGCGATGTTCGAGATGTGAATTTTACACTGCTGAATCCAGTTTTCTTTTATTCCATAGCAACCTTTGCTGTTCATTTGTTTAAAAATGTTATTAAACAACTGATTAAAAAAAAAGATGAGACATGAAGTACTGCACTGATATTTGCATACACTGGTAGAACGTAACACTGTACGCACGTGTTGTTATTGTCAAAAAAACTAACCTAACACGAGAAAGCCGGAATTATTTTAAGATAATTCCTGACAACATATTTATAAAAAAATGGAGGCAACTTAAAGACAAAAATTTTGACATAAGTCATATTAGTTGTATTATCTTTAAATTCTCGCATTTATTTAATACGTTAAATAAATAATAAAAATTTGTGAAAAACAGGATGATAAACCTGTCTCTCAATCAGAGATAGATTTCATTTTAAAGAAGCATTCTGATTGGCTGCCATTTTTAATAAGAGAAATTACTTTAACAACTTGTGAAAATTTTTTTAAAATGACAAATGATTCTCATTGAAATTTATAGATTATTAATAATTAATTGATATGAATGTATTTTCTGTAGTTTAGTTATGATAGTCTTTCAATTTTAAGATTTTAATATAATTTTCAAAAGCAAACTGACAAAACTATTGCAGTCTGCTAAGACTGGCAGAGTTGGCAGCAATGAAAGTGAAAAGCAAAACAAACAGATGACAACATGTGTACGTGTAGAAAGTTTGGAAGCATTTTCATCGGTTTTTCTTGCTCAATTTAGCATTATTTTAAGTGACGAGTGAAGAAAAATATTACAAGGTGACATCAACCACATCGAAACCAAACTTACTATAGTTATGAATAATATATGTCTCATATTTTTTGTGACAAAAGTGTGTTTTATATAACCGCATCACACTGAAGGGTAAGTCTTTTGTATAGATTTTTCACAAAGTCAACAAGATTTAGATTTTCACTTTTTTAAAATTTATTTTATCGTTTATTTTATTCATATATATATATCAGGAGAGTTTTGTAAAAAATCAAATATCTTTAATGTGGTATTTTAAGAAAGAGACATGATATTAATTTTCCATAAGTCAAGATGTAGCATCGCAGAAAACAAATACATTAAAAGATTTTACAATTACAATTTTTTCATCTTTATTGTAAAAGCTTGAGTTAGACGTTTGATAATTATCTTTCATAAGGGTATGATATGTCCGTTTTTGTAGATTAACTCGTTTAATCGGGGATAATTTTTTAAATTTTATATTTAATTCGCTAATCATTCAGTCAAAAACTAATATATATATATATGTTATTTGCTTTTATTAATTTAAGAGGTTTATACAGAGGTTTGAAAGAAAAATAATCACTTGACTTTGTAGTGTAATTTATCGACTGTTCCCTAATAGCTATCCAATTATTATTAAATTAGTAAACACTCTCCAATATATGACTTTTGTAATATCTGCACAATCTATATTTTTGTTTTATTAATTTCATAAAACGTTGCGTTAAAAATGTTACGAAAATTAATTTTAAGAAATTATATACTTTTTTTGACTTACTCAAATAATTTCTTATTAAAGTTTATTACAAAAATATAAAATATTTCGATAAGGATAAAGACTAGTTCCAACACAGCTTTTATTTTCAATCAATCAATCAATTTTCATTCCTAATCAGAGATTAAAGCCTATGGGCGATTCCACGTCAGATTTCAGTCGACTTTTTAAATTTAGCCAAACATATTTTTTTTCATTCTTTATAGAAAAAAAACAAATACGTATTTTTTTATTTTTTTATGGGCGATCAATTTTTCGAGTTATGAATTTTCAAAATTTTGGTTTTTTGAAAGTAGACCTATTTTCAATGACCTATAACTCGAAAAGTTTTGAAATTAGAAAAATATTACCAGGATAAAAAATGTTCAGTTTTTCTTTGACTTTTCAATCATATAAACTAAAACAAAAATTTGTTGATTTGAAAAAAATAACAATAATTTTTTATAAACAAATTCACTTTTTTTTTAATTTGTACATGTTTTTTTAAAAATTTTTTTGCTTTATTTCTTACTTGGGAACAATAAAAATAGTTTGCACACTATTTCATAATGGGCCTGATAATACTTATTGTTTAAATAAATTGTTTATAAAAAAAAAATTTTTATTCTTTCTTTTTTTACATTTTTTTTAACAAAAAGTTTTTTAATTTGATTTTTTTATAAGTGGATTAAACAGTCCTAGAGATTAAAAAACTTTTTGTTAAAAAAAAATGTAAAAAAAGAAAGAATAAAAAATTTTTTTTATAAATAATTTATTTAAACAATAAGTATTATCAGGCCCATTATGAAATAGTGTGCAAACTATTTTTATTGTTCCCAAGTAAGAAATAAAGCAAAAACATTTTAAAAAAAACATGTCCAAATTAAAAAAAATGAATTTGTTTATAAAAAATTATTGTTATTTTTTTCAAATCAACAAATTTTAGTTTTAGTTTACATGATTGAAAAGTCAAAGAAAAACTGAACATTTCTTATCCTGGTAATATTTTTCTAATTTCAAAACTTTTCGAGTTATAGGTCATTGAAAATAGGTTTACTTTCAAAAACCAAAATTTTGAAAATATTAATTGTAGTTACAGTATTAAACTGCTATAGTTATTTTTACATAAATGTTTTAGGCAAACCGCTGAATTTTACTTTTATATTGCTTTAATATTTTGAAGTAAAATTTCTTGTCGTTTAAAATTTTTAAAATGTACTTTTGCAATGACCGATGCACTCATTGATCTACTTTTTTAGGAATGGCGGCCCTTCCAATGAATCGTAGGTTTGAATGCGATTACATGAATTGTAATGCCTCATTCAATAACAGATCTTCATTAAGATCTCACAAGTCGAGAACCCATAGAAATAGAGTGCCTTTACAGAACGTAGATAGAAATATTGTTG